GATTTTATAGACTTCAATATTCCAATACGTTTCGATAGTTTCATTGCCATTATATCAACATGAGTGTCAAAGTTTAAATCTTCATCAATATTAAAGCCCAGTAATTTCACAGTGTGCGCTTGTTCTAATGAACCATCGTTCAATTTAATATCGAGAGTTTGATTTTCAGGAGTAAGCTTAGCTTTAAGACGTTTACCAGAAATCAGAATGGTTTTGGTCTTAGTGGTATTGAGAGGCAGTTTATTGGTAATGGCCCAGTTTTGAACGTTAGAGACTTCCAGAGATAATTTCTCATTAAGTTCATTAATATCATTATAATCAGTGGCAGCGAGTAAGGTAGTGTCATCAGCGAATAAATCTACTTGGGTGTTGATATGTAGAGGCAAATCGTTTATAAAAACGAGAAACAATAGAGGACCAAGGATAGAACCCTGTGGTACTCCGTCCGTGATTACTTTTGTTGTAGAAGACTGGCCTTTGAAGTTAACATATTGTTTACGGTCTGATAGATAGGATGTAAACCAATCAAGCGAACTCTGATCAAGATGGTATGCTCCAAGTTTATCAAGCAGGATACAGTGATCAACCATGTCAAAGGCTTTCTTATAGTCGACTAGGACCATGCCATTAATGAGATTTTTATCCAGGTTGAGTAAAAGAGAGTCAACGATAAATGCAACGGCAGTTTCTGTGCCAAATTCGCTTCGAAAACCCGATTAATTGGAGTATATCAGATTATTTATAGTGAGATAGTAAAACAGACAGTCGTGTACATGTCGTTCAATGATCTTTGAAAGCACAGGTAAAATAGAGATAGGTCGATAGTTGTTAAGATCGGAAATTTCGCCAGCCTTAAATAACGCAGTGACTCTAGCTATTTTCCATCTTGAGGGAAATTGATTGCTAGTCAAAGACATATTGATTAACCTAGATATTGATGGTGCCAACTCCTTGATGCCTGCTTGAAGCAGTTTCACACTAATGCCATCAGCTCCAGTTGCTTTACTAGATGGTATCTTCAACACGTAGTTTTCAACAAACTCACATGTGATGGGTGGTAAGCTGAACGCAGACTTGTTAGGTGATAACTTCGATTTTACGAACTGATTCAACTTACTAAGATCAAAGTTATTGATAGGAGAGAGCGAGGATTTGATTTTACTGGCGATTGATGTTTAGTGAATATTGAAAGCTTCGGCTATTTCACAACTATTCCTTAACACTTTATTGCATTCACCAATGAGGAATTCTGGCAGGCGCGATGGCTTATTATTACCTCCAAGAGATTTAATCAATTTCCAAATAGACTTTACGTTGCCTTTGTTATTTTGAATGGAAGATTTGAAATAATTTCTTTTAGTTTTTCGATCATGTTTGAAGCTAAATTTCTTGCGATACGGTATTGTTTCCATGCATTGGTTGAATTAGTTTCAGATTTTCTAGCTTTTGAGAGCAGGTTATCTCTAATCTTTAACTGATTAAGGATGTCACCATTAATCCACTGAGGCTGCTTAGACTTGGCAATACGTTTTTGTTTTGTTGGGGTATGTTGGTCGATTGCTTGAAAAAATATACCTTCCCAAGTGGCGAGAACATCATTAATATCATCAAATAAGAAGGCTGTGTCCCAAGGGGAGTTTGCTAATGTGTTTTTGAATGCAGATATATTAAGATTCTTTAGGTCTCTGTAAGTTATTGAATCATGAGAGTTAGTTGATTTAGACTGCTTGAAATATTTACGAACAGCAAACGTTGGTAGATGATCAGAAAGAGCATAGTTTTCCACTAGTGCTGCGGTGATATGCTGAGATTTGTTAGTATAGATATGATCTAAACAAGTACCACTTGAAGGTCGAGTAACATCAGATACCAACTGAGAGAAATGCATGTTCATTAAACTTTTTGACAAGTAGTGCTTTTTGAATTCTTGTGAAAGAAAGTTGATGTTAAAATCACCTGTTAGTATAACTTCTTTATTAGTCAAGTAGGTGGTTTCAATACACTGATCAAATAGTTTATCATCATCTCTAGAGTATGATGGTGGACGGTAACAGCCAGATATCAACAGCGAGCGTTTGGACTTGAATGGGCAGATTTTGAGCCATAAAATCTCGACAGAATCATTTTCAAGGTCGACGCGGCGATTAAAGGTTAATGCGTTACTACAATACACAGCTATACCTCCACCAGCTTTATGTAAACGATCTTTCCGCAGTAAAGTAAAACCAGGTATATTGTAGAGGAAGTCGCAGTTTGAAGGTTTTAGAAACGTTTCCGTCAGAAACAAAATATCAATACAATCTGAGTTCGTTGTGAGGAGAAGTTTAATTTGTTCAAATTTACTGCTAGTTAGGTGGTTTACATTCCACTGACCAAAACGGAGTCCTTTATTGGGCAGATGTAACTTTAAATAGCTAAAGTTATTGGAGGATTATGTCTCTGTAACCACCCATTTTTCCAGATTTTCGTGTTGACTAGATGACCAGGCGTATTTGTTTTACTCATTTTGTCGTCTCCTTTACACTTAGGACAAGTTACGACATTGCCATCAAGAAATGCATTGAACTGACACGATGGATCAAAAAGAATATACGGAAGAATGCAATATGACTTTGCATAATTTTTCCATGTTTCGTCCAAGCTAGGGAATATGTCATACCAGACTTCAGGTGGATTCATAGTATGGTCAATGTCATACTTCTGATCAGCCACTTCCGCTGCGGCATCGATGCATTTTATGGCGTATTCATTAATCTCATACACATTTGACTTGTCCTTAATTATTGATAGCCAATTAAAATGAATGTAAGAGTGCAAAAAGTCAGTTTTTTCATTTTATACACTATATGTGTACTAATCACTGTCTTGATTAATGGTTGAGTTTTGTTCTCCAGTCATAAGCATTATCCCGGTGGACAAATATCTGCTTGTCATTTACTTTTCACAAAACCTATCCTGTGGCAAAAGTTCCCATCAAAATTCGTAGGTTTGGTGAGAGCAAATGCACAATGCGGTTGCCTAGCCTATAGCAACATATTTGTAAATTTCGGTTTATTACTGCATAAAAACAACCATGCAACTTAGCTTTTAAATTTCATTCTGCAATAAGTCTTAGTAAGTTTCTATCCACCTATCCTTAGTAAGTTTCTAACTACGTTTATCCTCCCTTGAAAGAAGAAGTCTGACTCTTTTGCACACTATAAAGTAAGTACATGTTTAATGTCTTTTTTTAAGACAGTATTTTGGCTATATTAAGACAGTATTTTGAATAATAGTGTATACTTTATTGGCATGTTTAAAGACAAAGTTATTTTTTCTAATCAGTATAATGCACAATCAAATGCACTATAAAATTTTGTTCAGTGCGCACAAACATGTATTCATGCATGCATGCATGCAGGTTTAAAATCGGCACTAATTTAAAGATCATTTTAAGCAACGCTAAAGCCACGCCAAACGTTATTTTATATATATATATGTGTGTGTGTGTGTGTGTGTGCTAATTGTTTACTGATTTATATTGTCCATTATCTTACATTTAGTCTGAATGTTATGCAGGTTAACATCAATTTCTTCCTCCCTTGTTGTTCACTTTTTGTTGAACTATAACTTTTACAATTTTAGTTTTTTCAACTACGCTTACTGAACTGGTGACAGTATACTGCATACATAAATGATGTAATGTAGAAACAACTTGAAAATTCTGCAAAACCATGTTTCTTAATGTTGAATTTATTATTTCCAAAGGTATATGTTTATTTAACGGCTATGGGAATTTTAAATTTTGAAAATATATTTTACACTGTCGGGGCTGATTTTTCACATGCATATGTCACCATATCACAAAACAGTATTTGAGTTTGATTACGATAGAGATCTAGAGTCCTGCGAAGTTGGACACTTTTGTCATTGCATGATTCAGTTGTTGGCTGTGACAGTAACTGCCGCACTATCCATTCAGCCCATTTTCCACCAAGTGAATTTGTTCGCACAAACAGTAAAAAAGTAGGAACTGATCCAACTTTTTCGCGGCGAATTTGCCGACCAATCACATTGCCAGGATCTGTTTTATAGCCTCATCAAGAAATTATTCAGTGTGTGTGTTCCAAAACCCGAAGATATGTTGGGAAAATTTTGCAATCTGAGCTTTTTTATTAGAAAAACAACAGTGATGTCCAAAAAATGACACTCTAACAGAGGCATGGTAAAAAGAATAAAGTGTGTTTTACTATGTTAAATTTTCTTCCTTTTATGTCTTGTGGTGAGATGAATATTGTTTAAGTTGGACGATATTTTGCCCCCCCCCCCCACGAGGGTGGGGATATTTCAATGGCTTGAGGTAAATTAATCTGGTGCGGTTAACTATAAGCCTCTCCTCCCATGTCTACATCACTTGCACAAATTATCAATATATATGTCATTGGTAAGTGGTAGGCTTGGGCGGTTTTTCGTGTTTTTTTTTCGGTTTTATTTTCAAACCGGTATTTTCGGTTTAGCTTTTACAAAAACCGGAAAACCGTCATTACGTAATTGTTTACTGTCATCGCCTGAAACTCGATCTTAATTCTCTAATTAAACACAATTACATGATACTAGATACAAATTCTATTCTTTTTCCGTAAAGTCGGTAAGAACTAAAGAGGTATAAGTTTTCAAATGCGTTCTTGACCCTTTTATTTTAAAACTGAAGTTGTTTTAAGTTACCTTTGCACAATTTTGCGTTTTGTCATGTACTGTTTGTTTGCTTATGTCAAAAAAATACCACAATTCTTCCTCATTCAGTTGAAGTAAAAATTAAAGGGAAAAACCGGTTTTCCGGTTTTACCGGTTTAGAAGCAGACGGTTTTTCAGTTTTAATTTTAAGCAAAACCGCCCAAGCCTAGTAAGTGGTTACAGACATTTAATTTATGGGATTACTGTAAGCTACGTAAATAGTGATAATTCGATCCTTAATTACTGCCTTTTAGAGCAACATTAAGTTCAGGCTTATTAGCCTACATGTAAAGGGTGTATAAAAAAGGTAATCCATGTTATTGTGAATTATATATTATACGTTTAACTAGTTACTTTTTTCATAGCAACAATGATACCTTTCTTGTCAGTCATTGCTTTTAAAAATAGCCAAATACGATGCGATTTACAAATGCCACTCGGGTTGCATTTTTAACAGACTGAACTCACAATGTTGTATGTTTCTGGGCAACAAGCTACTAATATGCATTTCAAATCAAGCATTTCTTGTTTGTTTAAAGTATATAAATGCCATATAATAAACTTTTTATTAACCTCGAAATATCAGACCTCGGTCTTTCTGCACAAACCTGACCTGTAGGCCTACAAGAAAGACTTTGGTCCTTATTCATACACCACCCTGTATATATAACTCTTCAAGAAATACAATTAATGTAGTGCAATCGAAAATTGCAATCTATTGTAGTATTAGTTCTAAAATAAGAGTTGTCCAAAAATCTCAAGAAAAAATGAAACGATATCAATGGAACATATACTGCACAGATTAAACATGCATGTTTTTTCATTTAAGTATAAAGCATACTTAATAGTATATAGAGCACGGTAACTGAGCCAAAACTTTATATTTTTTATTGCAGTTATAGTAATGTCCTCTAAAAAATCAATTTTTGCCAATGTTTTTCCGTTAACCAAAGCATCAAGACGGCAAGAGCAATAAAATTTCCAATGGAAGAGTTCCTGCAACCGATGGTAGAATGGCTGATGGCCTTGGCATTTTCAGTAAACACCCGGACCCGAGTTTATTTTGATTGCGGCAATTTCGGTCGTCTCAATGTTGATGGGTCCAAAAACAAAATTACAAGTATGTGAATGTTATATGGAACCATGCAACTTATATACTGTGTGCCTAAGTGAACCAGGAGCTGGAAAATGGTTTATTTTATTTTATCTTTTTTATCTCTCTCCGAAGCAATGGTGCAACTCGCCTTTAGGATGAACTACACGCTACATACTATAGTTTAACCGCAAGCACTACTTGTTCATTCAGATATATATGCAATAATTTTCGAGAAGCACCAGAATGGTTTCATATATAGCTACACACCTGAAGCCAAGGAAAGGTACACCAAATACGCAAATGATCTTTCGGAGAAGATGAACATGCAGTGGGAAGAAAGAAACATCTACACAGACAACTTCTCAAAGGACAAAAGAAATTTTGTTTTTATTTAGGTCTCTCCATAAGTAAAACTTTTAAAACGATGCGTGAAAACGTGTACATAGGAAGAAATCCTTTCTTATATATTCTTCTTCTATATATATATATATATATATATATATATATATAGTTTTTCGTTTTACCTCAAAAAAACCACAACAGTCTGTTTCATCCGTATAGGAATCATCAGGTGGTGAATAATTTCGAAATTGTAGGTTGCTTTTATGCTATCGAAAGAATGTGCGGAATGCGTGTAGGCGAAACAATGCTTAGGTGAAACAATGCATGCTTGGGTCATTAGGTTTTGTTAACGACCTTGTTTACTCGAAACCGGTTTTTGTGACGGCATTTGCCGAAAATTTTGCTTCTTTTATCGAGTAAATTGTCTTTGTTTATGTCTTTCAAAATGCAAAATTTTTCTTCCAAACATAAATTGCAGCGTTTTGATCCCCCTGTGTACGAAATAGCGTGTTTTAAAATTGACCATTTGATGGTATAATCCTGATTGTTTTCTTTTAATTTCCAAATATGTTTCGAAAGTTCTGTTTTGTTTGAGTCTTTTTTATGACGAAAAGATGAAGTGTGGTTAGCGTAATGTTCCTTAAATGTAGTCGCTGTCATACCAATGTAGTGTGTAGTGTCGTTTGTGTTGTTGGTTGTGACTGTTGCTTTGTAAATAATGTTGTTGGTCATGCATTGTTTCGGTAGTGGGCAAGTGTTTTTGTTGTCGCAGTTACAGTTGTCAGTTTCCGTATTCTGTGATTGACTGTTCCTAATTATATGTGTGTTGTGTTTGGTGATTATAGACTTAACGTTGTTCATGCAACTGTAGCTTACTTTTAAAGTGTTTCTGTTAAAAATCTTGTGTAGTTTGTGCTGTAGTGGAAGTGTTTGTCAATTAAACTTAAGAATTCCCCTCCTATGTTCGTGTTAACACTCTTACTAAATGGTGGGTTGAACCAAATTATGTTGCGTTGCCTATTCCTACGTGTCCGTTGTGGTGCATCCTGAGTGTACGTAAATTCATGATCAAAGTTACTATGTGTAAGAGCGTTCTGGTAAATAGGTGTGGATTCCTTAAATGTTTGTTCGTCCGATGAGAGAAGTGCAATGCGATTGTTGATAGCTGTAGGTAATTGTCTTGTAATGCTTGGTGGATGGTTTGAGTGTCTGTGGATGTACAATGGATCGTCATTGGGTTTCCTGTATGGTTTGTGTTTTGCGTTGATCAGGTCGAAAGTAACATCTAAAAAATTTACAACATTCATATTTACTTCGGCGGTGATTTTAAGGTCAAATTGCTCGAAAATTTTGTGTAGCTCTTTTCTAAAAACAACACAACAAAAACAAAAAAACAACAAACAAACAAAAAAAAAACAACAAAAAAAACAAACAAAACAACACTGTCGCTCCTTCCTGTATAATGAATATACTGTCTACATATATCAGTACTTGATTGAAAGATCATCATGCATAACATATATTTATATATTGCGTAGATTCTCAAAGATTTACTCTATTCATGTCTGAAATGTTTATAGATTTGAAAACAACACTGTCGCTCCTACCTAGCATCGTGATCTACGGCTTCATAGCACATGCACATTTGCACTGCTATAGAAAAAATCAGGTGTTCCAGGGGAAAGATCGTTTACACAACACAAGAAGCGAATGTTCTAAAATTACAAAAATTTACAATAACAACAACGATTCCTCGAAATTTTTGTGAACTTGGCAAACGAATATTTAAAAAGAAATAAAATTGCTTAAATAACCTTCAAAGCACTGACTAAGTACAATAAATCACTGCAAACATAAATCGTATACACCCCCCGGAAAGTTTACTCTATGATTGACTGACTGACTGATTCGTGTGAATTCGCCAGCCATCACAACAGTGTGAAATGAAAGTGAAACTTCACACTAAAAATGAGGACCCAATGGATGTAGGAGCAAGTGGTACATGCAGGATACAGGTACTGATCTCATCCAATTGCCTCAATTGAAATCTTAATGGCTGGTTGCAGAACAAGTCTGTGGGAATATTTGCCAACTAAATTTATAAAGAATGTGTCATATTTTTTAAATAAAACACGTCCTCTCGTCCGGCTTAAGATTTTATTGTAAGACTGTTTGTGAATATCTCACAGAATAGATAGAGGTTGACGGAATAGCACAAAAACTGGCTATTCATTATTCAAAAGTTGGCAGTATATGACTAAATACTGACGCCCAAGGTGTTTAACTAACTTATTTCATGATCCTGGAGGTTTTATTCACAAAACAGCTCTTACACTTGTGGGACGTAACACAGGGTTGAGTATGTGCATTATATACGTTTTAATGTGGTTAAGCATGCGCAATCTTACTAATATATATCATTTTGCGACCAACAAGTGAAACTCCAAATATTTTTTTATAAATTGACTGAGTGCGAACACATTAGGATTGCTTTATGCAGCTTGTTGTCGCGCAGTGAACGATCCATACTCTTACTTTATGCGGAGTGTAGTTTCAATATTGTTAGTGACATTAGTAGCTATTGTAAGTTTTTGTATTCCTAATTAATTAATCTTTATGCAGCTTGTTGTCTCACAGCGAACGATCCATACTCTTACTTTATGCGGAGTGTAGTTTCAATATTGCTAGTGACAGTAGTTATTGTAAGTCTTTGTATTCTTAATTAATTAATGTATGTATTGATAAAACTGCCCCTTGAAAATCAGTTTTCTAATTACCGCTATAATTTTAAATAATAATTCTAATAATAATAGTGCGATGGGAGTGAGCTACGGTTGTATATGACTAAATACCGACACCCTTGGTGTCTAACTAGTAACCGACTTATTTCATGCACGATTTAATGATATAGGGTAATTACTTATCTGATGGGTTGTTTTGTTGTGCTTTGCTTTGCTACACTGATCTTTGTCGCTTGGCCACATTTCTTTGTTTATTTTTATATGCATGTAAATCGCATTGGTTGCTGCAATAAAAAGTACTGTACGGCTAAGAGTTTGGAAAGTGTTTGAGGTGTGTCACGATGGACAGCGACGAAGATGATGATACATTACACAAAATGTTTTTCGTAGCCATAAGGACAAAGATGATATTGAAGTCGATGTTCTGAACACACTTTTGTTTGATGAGTCATCACCTGTCGAAAATTTAGTTGAAACTTGTTTCCCGGTGTCTGAGCAAGTACAAGAGAAAAAGTTGTTGAAAGACACATGCAGAAATATTACACTAGTTGCAGACTATGAACTCGAGAAGCTGAAAGAAACATGTATACCAAATAATACAAGGATTAACATGAACTGGGCTGTAAGAACTTGGAAAGAATGGGCAGAGAAAAGTAAGCTGCAAGATGGAGCAGTACTAGCCCAAGGCCAGTTGTATACACTTGTGAATACTGATATTGTTGAACTCAATGACGAAGAATTGAATTATTGGATGAGCAAGATGGTTGTTGAAGTTCGCAAAAATAAAGATGTAGGGGACTTTTATCCACCAAATATGCTATATCAGCTGTGCTGTGGTTTACTGCGATGGATAAGAGACAGTGGACGTCCATGACTGAATTTTTTTAGCGATCCACAATTTAAGCACTTCCAAGACTGTCTGGATGCCGAGATGAAAAGCTTAACAAGAATTGGGTTGGGTTCAGAAATCAAACAAGCTGATCCCTTTTCTGAGGAACAGGAAAATAAGCTTTGGGAATTAGGCTTGCTTGGGGATTATTCAGCTAAAGTGTTGTTAGACACTATGGTGTTTTTAATTGGAAACCATTTTACGATTTAGTCAATTCGCTTTAGTCTTTACGATTTAGTCAATTCGCTTTGGTAGATGCGACAACTAAAGGTGAAGTTGGGGAGAAACATAACTCTGGTGGATTAAAACATCGAGCTGTGAAACAAAAAAGGATTGAACACTATGCAAATGAAACAAGACCGAACAAGACCGGAACGATGTTTAGTCAAGTTGTATAAGAAATATTTGTACTGGATGCTCTGAAACAGCAATAGCAAACGATGTTTTTTATTTATCACCTTGAAGAGGAAAGAAACTGTCCGAGAAAGGTAAATAAAACGTGTTATATAAAGATCAACATGATTATTGTAAGTAGGATTTTAAAACAGTGTATTGTAATGTGAGTTTGTATTTTGTAGAGTTGTTTGGCAGTGTTCCAGTTGGTCACAACACTCTTGGCAATACCGTAAAAAAGCTTTGTAAAGATGCAGATATTGAGGGGAACTTCACTAATCATAGTCTTCGCGCAACGACAGCAACCCGTGGATTAGAGAAGGGAATACCAGAAAATTTGCAATGCAACGTACTGGTCATAGAGATGTTAGATCGTTGCAAAAATATCAGCGCCCCGACATCTCGACGAAGATAAGTATTTCAAGGGCATTTGACGGTGGTGTTTATAAGGGGCAAGTGGAAAAGAGTGATGTGAATGTTGAGTTGGGTGAACCATCAGGGAAATGAACGAGAGATAATCATGAATGCGAGTGTGAAGAAAAGGGTGCGTGGAAAGATAAAAAAAATAAAGTGTGGTCAGACAAGGACAAAATTCCTGTAGCTTTTAATAATTGTAAGTTTGTTGTAAGTGGAGACATTTCTTTTTAAAAAGTACTTTAAAAAGTTTGTTGTGTGATGTTGTTGTTTAATTAAACTATATATTTAATTGCTTGTCATGCTTAACAGTGTGTGAATATTTTAGGCAATTTAATGTTCTTTTACAGTCTTTTGACCAAACATCTAGAGCTTGTGCATCGAGTCACATCTCCCCAAATAATTTAAACTATCCAGTGGGACTATATGATCACTCATTTCATTTTCATAAAAAAAGTTTGTTATCTCTTTTCCACCACGTCCCAGTTGCGTCGATCAGCACTGATCGATTGCAAGATATTTAATATCTTCGGTTCAGTGCATGCTATGAAGACAGAAATACCACCATTCGATTCAGAAAGAAAAGATTCAACTAATTCCTCCCTATAGTTATAGTCATTATCAACATTGTAGCGATTTATGGGCCTTTGAAGTCAAACACGATCATATTGTATCAAATTACGCAATTGTCTGAACAAAAATATAGACTAGCCATACCTTTTGCCGAAAATAACTTCGGCCCCTTCGAACATATCGTCTTTGTAATAGTCTTGTTAAAATCCCCATTAAAAACACTACTTAGAGTGTTATTTGCAAGCCTGTATCTTCAAATCTGTATCTTTTATCAATATATTTTTATTTCTTGCCCGACTGTGAGCTCGAAGTGAGTTAATCCCAACCGGAAATACGACTGAAAATCGTCAAAACAATGCGAAGCTTGTATTGTATGACCCTGCAAAGGCCAGAAATGGATTCGCAAGGTCAAATTGCACCTACACGCGTGAGTTTGACGTCATACCGGCCAACAGGAGCTTCTTATTGGCCAATTATTGCGCAATGTTCGCAAGTGCGAGTAAAACCCGATATCTTGAAAAATTCAAAATAAATATTTCTAGTCGGCGTATACATACGAAACTTTCTACACAAAAGCGCTTGAATACAAAGAGTATTTTACACATATAGCCGTTCAGCAAATGACGAAATGTTCAAGAGATATTCAAGATCTTGTGTATATGAAATTTAGAATCTTTGGCCAAGCGGTGAGTAAATATATGATTGTTTCGGTTTGTGTAATGTTCAGACGGCACTTGACCCCCCGTTTGAAAGGTTATTTTGTGAGGATTACAATGGTGGTATTTATTTATAAGGGGGGTAAATACTCGCCGAGATATTTATATTAGAAAAATTGTGTCGTAATATGATGCGAGAGGGGGTGGTCGAAAAAGAGATAAATTATAAGAATCTATTCCTGGAAATGTAACATATCGATGAGACCGCCTTAATAATCAACAAGGTGGAGGTCTTTGTAGTTACATAAACTCACAACTTAATGTTATCAAACTATGAAACTGGAGTGAACCTGACATCGAAAGCCAATGGTTTCTAATAAAAATAGGTATGTGACGCATACATGTATCTGCGAAAAAACTTGATTCACATTTTGTATTTTCTTGAAAGGAACTGAATAATGAAGATGACATGGGACAATTGAAATATTTTATCACTTATTGTAATGTAATAGCAAATAAGATTTTAAAGTCAAACATAATACACATCTAACAGGGCTGTACACAGTGCAGAGGGCAGCAGGGGCAACTACCCCCCCTCCCCCAAGAAAATTTAACTCATTTTATAATGTGATTATGATTGTAATGGATAATTATGCAGTCAGGAATAAAAATTTCATGCAAACAATATCCGAAGTGTCTATACAGCCGGCAGCAGGCTATTTAGAAAACTATCACTTGTCAATCCCCATATCAAATCTTCAAAACTTTATATGTACTTTGCTCATGAATTACTTCAGATTTCGTTAATTGTTTCAGAAGAGCTTGTTCTGATCTCCGAAGAGATTCATTTGGTCTCCGAAGAGATTCATTTGGTCTCCGAAGAGATTCATTTGGTCTCCGAAGAGATTGTTTTGATCTCCGAAGAGATTGTTTTGATCTCCAAAGAGATTGACTACTTACCAAATGAGGTTATAAAGTTTCCATCTTGATAGATAAACGATAACTTCGCAATTTAGAATGGCAAGAAAATATTAAAGACAGCAATCCAAAATGGCAAACATGAGAAAACACAAGGCCATCAGCCCACCATCTGTGCATGTTCGCAGGTGTCTGGTAAATGATGTAAGCTAATCACTGATTGGCTTATATCTGACACCGATGCAAGTCCGAGGACGCCATGTGCCTAACTTGTATGTCTTTCTCAGTGGTTTTTCTTTATTGATGCGTGCTTGTTAATAAAAGGTAGGTTTTTATTATGGTGTTTATAAACATTTATCATGTTCATTTCATAACAATTTAAAACAAAGAGGTTTGGAAATGCATTAGAGACATATTTTCAGATGATAAAGCAGTTTATGTCCTTGTTTATGTTTTCTAGTGTAGTTTTGTAAGTAGTAGTTCACAGTACTTGTGGGGAACCAAGTCTGTGGATAGAAACTATTTCTTGTGCCAAAATGTGTAAAGATAATATTTATATTACATTTTGAATGCTTTTACGAGTTCTCAAGCTAATGCTATATAGCTAATAGTAGGTCAAGTACTGTACTGTTCAATGAACTTTGCCCAATGCATTTGTTGCTTCCAAACTATGTTAAAACTATTTTAGCTAGTTATTAATGAATATTTTTATTATGTCCATACAGAACGAAAATGGATGCAACTAGTTCCAAGTAAGTATACTGTGTAAAGGTAGCGTTTTTCTCAGCTAATATCTCCTCTAGTGGCATTGTCCCTGATGATATGAAAATTGCATGTGTAATTCCCTTATTTAAAGCAGGTGATCGTGCAATATTCTCAAATTATAGACCAGTATCTATACTTCCATGTTTTTCAAAGTTTCTTGAAAGGGCTATGTATAATCGTTTATTGGCATATCTCGATAAATTTAAGATATTACATGATAATCAATACGGATTTCGCAAAAATCATTCAACTTCACTTGCTTTGATCGATTTATATGACAAGATTTCAGACGCGATTGACAGAAAAGAAACTTCTGTGGGGATTTTCCTGGATTTATCTAAAGCCTTTGATACTGTCAAGCATGAGATTCTATTTGATAAGTTGGAACATTACGGAATTCGCGGCTTGCCATCGCAATGGATAAAAAGTTATTTTACCAATAGAACCCAATTTGTTCAATTTAATGAACATCGTTCATCTCCTAGTGCTGTTTGCTGTGGGGTGCCTCAGGGTTCTATCCTTGGCCCTTTATTCTTTTTACTTTATATTAATGATATTTGCAATGTGTCACAATTAGTTGAAACAATTTTATTTGCTGATGACACAAACATTTTTTTTCGCATAAAGACCCCCAATATGTAATCGATTCTTTGAATAATGAATTGGAAAAACTGTCTGATTGGTTTCAAGCAAATAAATTGTCGCTTAATATGGAAAAAACGAAATTTATGGTATTTAAACCTAGACAAAAAAAATTCTGCCTGGATATACAACTATTTATTAATAATAAGTGTATTGAACAAGTCAAGGAAACTGTGTTTTTGGGAGTTATTCTGGATGAAAATCTGAGTTGGAAATCGCATTTTTCGCATATTGCTAACAAAATATCAAAATCTATTGGTGTAATTTATAAAGCTAATTTCTGTCTGCCACTAGAGTCTCTACGTATATTGTACTATTCGATGATTTATCCTTACCTACAATATTGTGTTATTGTTTGGGGACTAACGTATCATACTAATATTCGTCGCATTGAATTACTGCAGAAACGTGTAATTAGAATACTGAATAAAAGCGCATTCGATGCACATACTAGCCCTATATTTAAGAAGCTTGGCTTATTAAAACTGAATGATATTTGTATGCTACAACTTGGTCAATTTATGTTTCATCATAAATCTTCACTTTTACCTGAACGATTTGACAACATGTTTTTAAAAAATGATCAAACTCACACTTTTAATACAACAATCATTGACAATCTGT